CCCCAAAACCCCAAAACCCCAAAACCCCAAAACCCCATAATGATGGAATCACTATGTAAGTTGATTTAATTAATTTTGTTAAATTTATTTTCATGATAAGTGTTTAGCTATTGAGCATAATTTTGCCTAAAGGTATTTAATAAATTTATCTTTCATTATCAAACTGAGAAGTTGATTAGACTAGCAAGAATAACTCCAAAGCTCTCACCGATCTCATCAGCTGAGTCAAAGATCTCATCGTATTTTTTGACGTCCTTAATTTTGCTGCCCAAGTCCATAAGTCCACTCAGCTTAGTGATAATTTCAAAGGCATGCTTTTCAAGGTTAGTAAGAGTCTTATCAATGTCACAATGTCCTTTTTAAGAACAGAAAGCCACGGTATCCTTCAGCACACGTCTGAAACCACACACTTCGTCCTATTTGAAGAGGAGCTCGAAGATATCACCAAAGACATCTTAGAATTCTTCAAATGTTACGTCTAATATGCTGGTAATGTGGAATGATTTCTAAGCAAGATCTTAGATCTCATTGAAGTCCTCTTCAATCCAGGTACCAAAGCAATCATCATCGCAGTCAAACTTGTTCTTGCTCTTGGAGTACCATCCATCAACAAATCCATTCCAGGCATGGCTGCTAACATTAGCAGCGAATCTAAACTTGGTTGACCAGGCAATTTCTTTGTTTAAGAAGAAGTCTCTTGGCACATCAGTGTCTATCTCTTGCCTTTTTTTAATCCACTCATCTTTCTACTTTTATCTGTGAGCATCCTCTTGCGTATCATTTTTGCCAATAACTCCAAAGTTAACATTGTGGAAGATTTTGGCATTTACGGCAGTTAAAGTAAGTACAGAACCAATTAGAACTAATTTTTAGATTTGCAGCATTTTAAACTTAATATTAATATTTATAATCTGTTCTTATACATTCACTATAACTCCCCTAAACCTACTTTAAATTCACTTTCTGGGGTTTTGGGGTTTTGGGGTTTTGGGGTTTTGGGG